TGTACTTACGAGCGGGTTAAAGTTCCGTAAGATTTCCAGATCTTCGATTTAAACGAAGACCTAGCAGCCACTACGTTTGCGCACCTTGCAACGGATTACCTTGGAAACACTCGTCGTTCGAAACCGCCCTCCAACGCGATTATTGGCTCCTCCAATCTTTTTTTTTTCACGGAAAATAATGATTGGAGGAAAAAGCAAAGGGACAGTCTTCTAGATGAAATTAAGTTAGAATAAAATAGAATGCTGAACAGATAGAATTCAGCAATACAAGATACAGTTCGCATTAGAGTACATTTAGAATCATTAGATTCGTTCGCTCGTAACGATAATACAATTCTACGAGTAGTAGATGGTCGGGTAATAGCATCGGTTCAGGTATTACATTTGTGCAATATAAAGAGTTAATTTAGACTTTATGTGTTATGAATTGAAATCAAGAAGTATGGAACTTCGATTAATTTAATTGGCTTAAACTTGGACGAAATAATTTGGATGAATTAAAGCCTGGAGGGAATTTTGATTATCTAATAACTTTAAAAAGAGACAGAAAGAAATTTAATGGAATGGTATAGACATCGAGAATAGGATACAAAATTCATGTAAGAATACGAATATATTTGAGAAAATTCTTATTACAAAATTATTCTATCGAGAGTTATTTTTGATAATACATATTGCATTAAAAGTGAAAATTATTATCGAATTATTCTCTGATGAAAAATTATTTTATTTAATTATTTACTAAGAGTATTTATACTCTTAGTAAGAATAATCAAGCAATCAAGACTCTGGATGATATTTTAAATAAGTACGAACTAATCAAAATTTCATTGTACACATAAATGAATATTTCATTCTGCAACAACAAAGAGAGATAGAATAGATAGAATTCAGCAATGATTGCATTCGTTCGCTCAAAGTAGATGGTTCTTCGAGTAATAGCACCAGTTCGGTCAGCACATTTCCGCAATATCCATTCAGTTTAGACAAATATATTTACCGATACAGATCTCGAAGAAGCTCGTTATTACATTTGAGGAAAAAATGGAAGGAGGAAGTATAATGAAATAAAAATTTCTTCAAGCAATAAGGTAAGTCTTCAGTTCTCAAACGACTGACTGAATTAATTGCAGAATTTGTAAAAAAATTGTAAGAAAATTCTTGCTCTTTCTCACACATATTTTCAATATCTTTTTGTCTGAATAACGTGAAAAGGATCATATCAAAAATGAAACGGAATTACTTTAATTCTTTTAGAATTAGAAGAAATAAATTTGCAGAATTAGAATCTAGATTATAATGGTATATAAATTAGGAAAATACTTATAGAATATTTAAGAGAGCAAATATTGACAAGGAGAATAAACAGACATGAAAATGAAGAATAGTAATAATTGTTTATTTCGATACTAATACGTCTAACACGATACCATCGATTCTATTGCATCGAATACATCACGGTAAAATACGAGAACGACGTGCTTAACATCTGAAATGCAGCAATTTTTATTAGCTTGAATAAAAACGATAATCATGTATTTATTTGAAACAAATTACCTTCGAAAAACCTGCATAGCATGGAAAGAATATGCCCAAGATGTGAAACATACATGTGGTCGAGCTTCGTGTCATGATGAGCAATAAAATCTTTTGTACCCTCAACGGTACAAAATACCATACAGAAATGTATCTGTCAGAAAGGGTAGTGACATTTCTTTTTACAAATTTTTTTAAAAATTAATTTAACGAAATAAAAATTCAAACTTACAATTCCTTAAAGAATTCTTCACTGTTGTTTATAACTATCTGACAAATGTGGTTACAGAAGAATATTATTGTCAATTGATTGACAAAAAAGATAAGAGAGATTAAACTTTCTAATTGATTGTTCCTAATTGTAATCGCATTTATTAGCTGTGAAACGAGAAAAAACAAATATACTCAATAAGATACAATTATTTTTAACTTGATTTATTGGTACATTTTTTTTATAAATTCGAAGTATCTCTTTTAGTATGTTTCAGAAAATTCGAAAGTATTCAAGAAAGTCTTACGCAAGTCTTATATATTATAATTTCTATTCGCGCAATTATATTCGAAATGATGCATTATTTAAAAAAAAAGAAATGTTACAAATGAAATTTATATTTTATATTATACTTTATATTGTATACTTTTATACATTATATTATAAGAGATCGCTTTACGATGAAATTTTCTTGATATCTTTACTTTTTAAAAGAAGAAGGTATTTAAAAAGTATTTAGAAGGATTGTAATCTATTCCAATACGAATTCATTGGCCCAATTATGTTGATCTTTGAAAATCATTCAAAATTATTTATAATTGTTAAAATTTTGCTTTGCGTATGATTTCTTTTTCTTCGCTGCACTTAAGTCATTAATAGTGATAAATAGTTATCGATGTAAATATTTTATCAAAGTTACTATTCCATAGTATTTGGATTTTTTTACAGTTAATATAAACGAATCAATATATACAAAGACTCGCATAATTATCTCTCAAATTAATTACACTTTTGAAAGACTGGAACTGTTATTTAGAAAATCATTGCATAAATGTGCAAAACTATTTCTTTTGAATGTAGGATATAAAAAACTAATTAATAATAACAAATATAGAAAAGTAACGAATAATCTTAAATGACGTTCAAAAGCCATAATTCGAACGATGAATTCATCTCAGAGTAGACGATCCTCGTTAAATAAACATATAGTTTTATATAAAAAAAAAAAGCATCTCGAGAAAAAACCTCCATCATAATAATAAATCATCATTTTGAATAATGCAATTATTTAAGAAATAATTGCATGGATTAACATAAGGCATTCGATATATTAACCGAGAATTCGTTTATCATTATAATGTAACGAAGAAGAGATACTTACTCGATGCAGATTTATAGCTATCGATATCACGACTAGGAGTGCAGACATCGTAAACTGTTTTCCTGAATTATTTGTCATGATATCGATAAATCTTTTATTGCCATATGAAATTGACACGAAATAAAATGTTAGTATAAATAATCGGAACTTGTAATATTATTATATTTTAATTTACCAACTGTATAGCTTGGTTATGAATATCCACCACGCGGTAAAGCTCCGTGAGCTTCGAGTCAATTTGCTTCGATGAGAGATCAAACGTAGCCAGATACGTAACAATTTTTTGTATTCGATGGCTGAAAGCGTTTATACAAAAATATTCCTTAAGAAAAATAAAAATAATTTACAATTTGTAAATTTACTGTGTTTACCGCGTTCAAAAAAAAATCAATCAATAAAATATTTGAGTTTCTTTTAAATTTTGGCGGATTAATTTAGATAATATAGAAGAGAAGAATTTTAATTTGTCGAAAGAAAATAATAATAGATATTTATTTCAATTTTTTTCAATATAAATTTTAAAAATTTTGTTATTTTATACATATTTAAAAGTTAATTGATAAGGTTTTATCAAATTTTAAATATTATTGAAATGATTTTAAGCAACTTTTTATCATGAAAATTTTCGTTTCGATTTTATTATAACAAATTATTAACGACAAAACATATAAACGCTATTATAACAGTAATGTTAGATGACACAAATCACTAGCGCCACACAGTGGAGTATTTACCTCTCGAAAGCAAAAAAATCCCTTTTCGTAAGTAGCCTCAAAATGAAAACATTTTTATCCAGATAATTAATTGAACATTTTCTAATTATTAACATAGTTATATGGCTTTAAATTTTTCAATCTCTAAATTGCTGAAGAATTATTATTATTTACAATTTTATTTTTTTTAATCTCATTAATTTTTGATCGAAACAACTGTATTAGATACGTATTTGCACCAAATTTCATTTTGATATTATTCATATTTTTCATTGAATTACGTTATTTAATATTTTTTATTCTCAATCTTAATTTTAAAAAGGATTTAAATGGTGTTCTTTCCGGTGTCATTGTAAAGAGCAAATCTTTAGCTTTAAAATAAAAAAAAAAAAATTAAGCTACTACCAGCTGCTGCTGAGATAGCAATGATTTTTATTATTATTGATACGAATAGTACGTCGTCAATCTCAAAATTATTAATCAGAATTTTTATTAATTTCTCTGGTGTTACAGAGAAAAGACACTTTAGATATCACGAAATAACTCAGTTTTAACTCAACTTAATATTTTTAAAAATTTCTAAATAATGGAAAATTGTCTGATTGATTGACTGACAATACATACTATTGCAATACTATTGCGCAACGTGACAAATTGACACGCTCTATGATTAATGGCCATTAATTGGCCATTTTTCGTTAATCATTTGTCAATAAAACCGAAATGAAAATTTGGATAAAGATAAGTCGCTTGAAATCATGCTTCACTGTTTTCGTCAATGTTCTTTTGAACACGTTATATTAATATTCTACGTAGTAAGAAGTAAAATATAATATTTCAAATAGCATTACGTTTATGAAGATTGCGAATTGTAATTTTACGAATTGAAGAAATTTTGTAAATGCAGTTGTTAAACAGTGTCATGAATACAATTTTACTCACCTTATAATTTTAAACAACATGCTTATGTGATAACTGTAAAGTCCAATAGTTGATTCCGTACACGTTATAGATAATATTGCAAATATCATAACAAACGTGTAATTCAAGCGTAGAATGTCAATAAATATGGTTTGATTAATGGAAAATAATATAACGTAACGAAGAGATTCGAAAGGAATTATGAAATTCAACGTTATAGGATAAAATAACAATATAGCGCAGAATGCGATAATTTCATAAATCATCCCTAAAATTTGGAGAGATCGTTCAATATTTAAAGTTGACGTTGAAGAACATGTAAGAAAATATTTCATAGTTTTATATATTATAATAAAAACTTAAATGTAACATAAATAATACAAATATTTTCGAATATTAAAATGGTTACGACGACAATGGTAATGTTATAAATTGATATGATTTTGCACATGTTACGTTATTTCTTACAGAAAAAGATGTCGATCATACAGCTGCAATCATCGATATATTTTCCTAGTATCTGTGCTTCTATTGAATCTTGTACCATAGCTTCTTCCATACGCATGTGACGAAATAAAAGTTTTATCTACGGCAAAAATAAAAATATTTCACCAGGAGGAATTTATTTAAAGTAAATTCAATTTCTTTTATACTCACCGTAGGAAAAAATAATATCAAACTTACATATCGTAACGAAACTATTACAAGTGGACATGTCGTAGACAATATTAAAATACAGTTTTGTAACGTAATTTCAGAAGTTAATAGCGACACAATCTAAAAACGTATTCCACTTAATTTTTAACAATGGTATGACTATGTTATAATTTCTACTCTAAAGTTTATTTTATAAGCAAAAATAATAAAAAGTCAGAAATAGAATCGTAGAAAAAATAATTCACTCGAAAAATATTTAATTTTCTACAATTTTTCAAAGTGAAATTGCACAACTTTCGATTAGATATACAAATAAATAATGAAAAAAAGATTATTTTACCTGTAAAAATATGAAGAATATAATAATAAACGCGTGTTACACGATAAAATTGCACAAGAAAAACCTGTAATTTTCGTTACCTGAAATACTACATTGCCAAGATAGAATGCCAATAGCAATAATCTCTGAATCCACACGTAAATCGAGTTATTGTACGGCCATAATCCTACGATTTTCATTATAGTACGATACGTACGATAATGCTTCGAGTCGAACACATTCATTCTCTTGGTCGGATGTCGACTGTCGCACAGAACTGGAAAAATCATTCGATCACACCTCGGCCTCATGCATTATTTACAATTGCAATCATTTTTCTTCGTATTCTTCACGGTATCGTTGCAATAGTAACGCCATAATGTGCAATAATCGCACTAAATTGCAATCGATCGATTTTATCCACACCCTCTGCAAAGAGTTTTCTCACGACAAACATTGATTTTGAGAAAATTGCGAATATCAATCGTTGTTGTTCGTTTTTTTTTTTTTTTATTTTCCTTCGTGGTTTCATTAATTTTTTCTCCCCTTTCTCCAGGTGTCGAGAAAAAGGAAATTCCTTACGACGAGTAGTATCTTTCGGTTACCTGATAAGATAACTTTGCTACTCGTAAAAATAAAGATAAAAATATATTTTGCATTTCGTTTAACGAGGAGGAGATTAATAGAAAGGGATGAATTTGGCCTGAAACATTGGTAATAAGCAAAAGATTATATATAAATGTGTTTAGGAACACATTAATTATTAACACTAGAACAATCGTGTGACTTTTAATTTGATTTTTCATAAAATTTTATCGAGAATACACGTGATTTAAAATTGAGGATGTCAAAAAATAAATCGAACAAATTGAGAATATGAATTATAAATAACGGTGGGTACATTTTTATTATTATCAAGATAAATTTGTAACCAAAAAACGAATACATTTAGAGCATAATTCGAAGAGATTTTTATAAAACTTTTAAACAAATAGGCATAGAACGGAAAAAAACGAGTAATCTTTTTTTAATTAATTTTTACAAGAAATACAGAGAAACTTACTTTTCTAATATTATAAACTTGAAACACAATATATATATATAAAATAGAGATTACTAATAGAAGCAAGATAAATTTTAAAACAATTTATTTCTGATTGAAAAAATTTTTTCCGAACTTTTTAAATTCTCAAGAAATTCTTCAATGTGCTATTACGAAGAAAATTTTTTATTTTTGGATTCAATGAATTTAGAATCAATTGTGAAACGATAACAGCATTGTAGCTAAAAAATACAAATATAACGAAATAATTTTCACAATATTGTATTATATTCCGTGCAAAAATATTCTAGTTTCCAGAATAATAATTAATATTAAATTTAAAAAAAAAAACAAAAAATATAAATAAAACACAGAATAATAATTCATATAATTTTCAACGTGCCAATCAACAATTACACATTTTCATATTCTGTCACATTGTAAAAATTACATTGTATGCAAAGAATTGCTTTTTAGATAAAAGATGTATTATCGAAAAATCTTTGGAAATGAAACATTTAATTTCACAGAAAACCATTTGCAAATAATAAAATTAATAATCACCTGGAAGAAAAATTGAAATCCTTAAGAAAAAAATTATTGGTATTTTTGTTAGACACGAATATAAATATTATTTTAATGATATAAATGAATCGTTAATTTTTAACAAACGACAATTTCCAATTTTATTTTTTACATACTCGATAACGAAGAAAAGATAAGATTTAAGAAATGCACAGTTATTGTTGCAGACAATGCAAAGATTCGATGAAGGAAAAAAGATTCAGAGAATCTGTTCGATATTCCAATATTGTGTTATAAATATAATAAAAGCATATGTAGATTTCTGATTAATTATAATTGAAAATTGCAATGAAAATTTCAAAATTTCTTAACAGAAAAAACAACGAATACTAGAAAGTATATATTTATAAAAATTTCCAAACACCGCAATTTCAAAAGAAAAATAAAACTAAAATAACATTAACGTGTTAATAGTATTGTTGAGTTTATATATGCAAAAGTGAAAGTTATATCTTGTATATTTATGTGTGAATTGGGTGTCATTGAACGTAGTTTCTGTTTTCTTTATTCCCCTTCTTGAACCATCGACAGTGAGCTCGGCGTAGTAGAACAAAAGCATCTATGTAACGTAGTTTATTATTACTTTAGTACATTCTTTCTTGCTATTACTTTCAGTCAAATCATTTTACAACCTATTCCCTAATAATATCAACACACGTGTGGATATGTATCACATATATTTCTTTCCTAAATTCACTTTAAAGAAGCAAAATTGACCAATGAAAATTCAATTACTTTTTTTGTATTATAACTCGAGAATTGTAAGAGAATTTTCAAACACTGCTTTTATATGTGAAAAATCTATATTAGAATGAATTTTTATAAATCTTGATATAATAATTTAGATGGAACGACATTTGAATACAATAAAAAATAATTCTCAAATTAGTTGGACATATAGTAAATGCATTGCTGTAAAACAGTCCTCTTATTATTCAAACAATTTCTAGGAAGATAGACTTCTTACCGTAAGTGACATTTCGTACGTGGGCACGAATATTCCACAAATTGACAACGACGCTGGTCTTTTTCTTCCTTGCATGATAAAAAGTAATAATTTTTGCATGGGTAAATCGTACCGATCCGCGTTGTACCTAGAAGAAAATACTAGATTGATGTTTAAGAGAAATGAAATAATGCAAAATCTGGGAATTCGTCAATTTTCCAATAGATTTTAAGATTTCGAAGAAATTAAAGGTATCTTAATATTTAAATACGTGATTATTTAATTGTTGATCATTATTACAATGAATTTAAATTTGTACCTATTGTTATTAACTTTGTATTCGTTGTGAAAGTTGAATTGTAATACAAACGAGGATGTTACATACTTACGGGGTATTCAAAGAGCTCGAACGTTTCGTCGAGAACACATTGCGACACGTAGTAGATGAGGAAAATAAAGCATGAAAATATTATAATTGCATAAAACTTTATAACGTAAGTGTAATGAAAGTCTTGATTGAAAACCTAGAAGCGACAATATTACAAATATATATCATGTACAGTCTCAGTTGAAAAGTTTAATAATATTAGTTTTATTCACATTAAAGGTTAAAGTTGCGAAAGCAAATATGGAAAATGTAAAGCTTACTAGATAATTTTACAATAATTTATCATTCACCTACGATAACGAAGCATATTAATGGAAACTCGTTGAAACAGGATATATAATATCATATATATGGAAAATAACAATAGTTGATATCTCTTATCAAATTAAATGCTAATAAAATTAATAAATATTAATAAAATTATTCGTGATGTTATATATATATATATATTGGAATCTCTACTAACTTTATTATAAAGTTATACGTTTTCATCGATTCTCTTATCTTTTCACGAATAACGTTCTCCAGAGATGGCTTCTTTCAATTGGTATCTAAAAAAGTAATAAGATTCAACGATCCTTGTACGAAAAGAAGTAAATAAATTTCACTTACCTTAGCAATTTTATATAATCCACATATGTGCACAATGGTATTTGTGAAAAATACCGATATCACGGTTTAGAAAAACTGAGAAAATAAAAACGTAGCAGTAATATAGAAGAATAATATAGAAATAATTATTTTTATACACTTCGAAGAAATTGCACGTGGTGAATAGGACGAATGAGATCGAGACTTGTTACGAGATATCGCGGTACAAGCGACGCGAATCTCGAAGCATATCACCAGGAAAACGGAAAGAAAAATTGTAGAACTGAAATATTTTAAATTATTATATTCTTATTTCTTCAAAAAGAATGAACTCTCTTCTTATTTACCGAGCTAGATAACACGTTTTCCAAACAGGGCGTTCGACTTAAGTATTCTAAACTCCTCTTTGTCCCGTAATTGATTCCAATTAAATTCTACTTTTTTTAACCAATCCTTCAACTTTACCGTAAGAATTATTAAAGAAGAAAACGAGAAAAGAAACATTTGGATAAGATAATTCAACACTTACGTCCTCACTTTGGATAAGCAAAAGGGTATACGACACGAAACTTATAATTGTCACAATGAGTTGTTGCGAATCGTATATTAATATTTCATGGCGAGTGCAGATATTCATATAAGTGGGGGAGAACTGTAATTAAAAAGAAATTAATGTAAGTTGCAACAATGGTAACGTAAGATGTTATAACGAATATATTTCAACCACTATTGAGTACACAGCTATGAAAAATATGAAATATATGGCGGCAATATGAATTATTTTCAATCGAGTGTATCTGTGCGAAGATAAACCGAGAATGCTAATTCTTATAATTTTGCAAGGTCGTAATACTGCATTCTCATGATTTCTCAACCTCTTGCGTTTTTCTGGGAAAAGGGTAAATATAGAGGGGGTATGGAAAAAGCATTGACGTATTTATTTGACTATTTGCATAACAATTTCCCTTCTGCAATTTTCTTGCAGATACATCTCAGGATTTTATGGAAAAATATATTCTCGTGCGTGTGTGGACCTGTCGATCAAACTCTTTTTCTTTTTTTTCCTTTCAATTTTTTGTAGTAATTGCACGTGCAAGAATTGGAGAAATATATACGTGATCAGTCAGTATTCGACAGTTGCTCGAAAAGAAAAGATTTACATTCTTCCTGGTATATTAGTGGAAATTGTTATTGTCATACCGATAAACATTCTCTTCGAACATCAGGATTCAAACTTAAAATTAGGATA